CAGGCCAAGGGACCCCATTGGTGTGCAATTGGGGCTGGGGAGCGATGCGGGAGGTAGGCCAGCCAGGGAGGGACCGCAGGAGGGCTCAAGGGCACACCTGGCCTGTCTTGTTCAGTCCTGATCAGCCGGACCCCAGCAGCAAGCTAACCTACCAGTGTCTTCCCCCTGGTGGCCAGTACACGTCACAGCGAGTAGTTGAGCGACCTTAGCATATCATTAGCATATTACTCTTTGATTGGTTGTTTGGACAACTGGATGACCGGACACTTAGCATATTAGGCTTTTATTATATAGGATTATTGATCACAAAGAGAAGGGAAATGTAGGAGGTCAGGAGAAAGAATTCAGTGATGTCAGCACTGGGGCTAATGAGCACCTACTACTGTGACTAGGTCGTTATGTCTGAAAGGGATCCCAGGGAAGATGGGCTCAGACTCGGAGAAATTCAGTTTTGCCAATATCAGGTCGCCCAGCCCGCTGGCATGAGACAGTATTTTCCTTATTCACTTTGCTTCCCACCCTCCCCACCCCATCAGCCAAGACAACACACATCCCCGCCATGTGAGTGCCTGGAGGGGACGTAGAAGGAGGCCATAGTCTGACTTTTACAGATGAGGGAACAAAGGTGGGGGGTGGGGAGAGGTGACATGCCTAAGGTCACGCAACCTTTTCCCCCAGCCCACCGACTTCAGAGATCACTGAAAAGGGGAAATGGGGGTTGTTCTAATGCCCAGTCCCTGCATTTCAATCAAGAAGCCAATCTGGCCCTAGCCGGTTTTGCTCAGTGGACAGAGTGTTGGCCTGAGGACCAAAGGGTCCCGGGTTTGATTCCAGTCAAGGGCTTATACTCCGGTTGCAGGCTCCTCCCCAGCCCGGGCCCTGGTCCAGGCACATGCAGGAGGCAACCAATTGATGTGTTTCTCTCACATCGATATTTCTCTCTGTCTTTCCCTCTCTCTTCCACTCTCTCTAAAAATCAATGGAAAAATATCCTCGGGTGAGGATTAAAAAAAAGAAGAAGCCAATCTGAGTTTTAAAAAGCATACCTGTGAGTGATCAAGTAACAATAATAAGGGAATTTCCCCATAAGAAAGGCTTTGTCTGGGGAAGACCATACCACACCCCGCTGAGTCAGAATGGGACTGAGCGAGGTTTGGGCCGCTTGCACAATCGCAAAGAACAGGCACGTTGACAACAAAGAACCACACATTATCTGAAACACACACACACAATATGCTGGCCTATTAAGGCGGTCGCAAACCTAATTTCACAATCTATAGAGACCTATTCATTTGAAGAAAGAAAGTTATTCTTCATCAAATGATGGGACTTCCCACCAACTGGCAGACTTATTCTTTAAATGCTATTGTTTACCAGATAGCAGTCACTGGGAGGAAAGTAGTGGGAAAAGGTGTCAATGTCATCATAGGACGACCACATCAATTTCTAATTGATGCCACAAAGGATTCCTAAGTAGGAGAGGAAAAAAAAGGTCCCCACATATAAACCTAAAGGACTAGTGTGAAGGAAGAGTGGAAAATTACTGAATACCAGCAACGGCATCAGAATAGGTACATTCACTTCTCAAAACACATCCATTATTAACATTTGAATCCTATCAGTGGTTCCTATACCCCTCCCTCTCTCCCTCATCACCACCCACCCCTCCCCGCCACCAGCCCAAGAACAGCAACCACAAAGCTGGCCAACGGTCCTTATTCTTGCTCTCCGATTTTATCACAGGACCTGTCCCCCAGGACCAGCCAGGTGCAGGGAGTAAGAAAGAGGCAACCGCCACGGTGTTTGGAAGGCTCTTTAATAGCAAGCGTATGGTAATTACATTGTTGGATGAGGTCCCCTCTCCCGGGAGAAAGGCCCAGGTGTGGACAGGGTCCCGTTTCGGATTCACACGGCTGGAAGCGTCTAACGAAGGGCAACAATGGTTGGCAACCCATTTCACAGTTTTGTCATTTACAAGAGATTTCTTTGAAAGGAAACGAAAGGCAAAGAAAGCATATACACCCTGTTGTTTTGTTTTCTGCCTAAGAAAAAAACCCAAACGGTTCCTTGCTTATGCTTCTCATTCGATGGCTAAACTGCTTTTGTACACAGACGCAGACTGTTCACAGAGTCTCAGATTCGTTCTCGAACTGACCATTTACGTTCTCCCCCAAGGAGCTGCTCCGAGCACAGAGTCCTGCTCCCTGCTTCGTCCGCACGGCCGCCAGAAGGTGCTTTCAGTGAAAAATAAATCTTCAGAAACAGAAATGAGAGAAAAGAAAAAAACAGGGAAAGGCAGTTCTACCAAGAACAGACTGTCAGCTTTCTCTGCGGCACCGAGCCTCTCGAACACACAGTTCTCAGCAAATGAAATGTTTATTTTCCTGTGGCCTGGTGCCGCGTTTAACTGCTTATGCCTCCTCAGCCTCACAATGCTTTCAATGGGCTTTCTAACGCGAACTGTTCACAGCTCCTCTATTTTTGCAATCCAAATTTAAAAAAATATCAAAGACAACATATTATTTGACAATTTGCCCAGTGAACGTGAGCTGGAGCTATTTTGCCATGGGCACCACGTTGCCATGGACACCAGAGGCTACTGGCATCCTGGCAAGTGTTAGAATGATTCTGCATCAATCTGAAAGACTTCAGCCTTTCCTGTGGTACCTGGTATCACAAAGCCAAGATAGCGGGTTGAGTCTTTATGGAAGAGGATTTGTTTTTCATTCAGAAAAGCTGTAGGCTTCTCTGGTAACCTGAAGAGGAAGCCGCTGGCACTGGCATCTTGAGTTAACACTCACTCTAGGGGAGAGGGATATGCACCCCACCTGAGCTTTAATTGTGCTCTTTCTACAACCCTGGAGCTGGGTGCAGTGGGTGGGCCTCGCCCTCAGCCCATGGGAGGGGCGTTTCCGACCCTAGGTCTCCTCAGCAGCTGAGAGCAAGACCAAGTTGGGTTCCCATTCAGCCTGGCATGTGATTGGCGCCTGAGGCCTGTTAGCACTTCGGACAGATGGGCTTCTCTGGCTGACAGCTGGCTGACCCAGGACAAGGACTCCACCAAATTTACAGGACCCTTGCCGTCTCCCTGGCTGGGAGGCCTTTTCAAACACGGACCTTGCCTCTGAACACTTGGGCAGGCAGCCCCTTTGAGCAAATCAGGCCCCTAGTGGGATAGCATGCAAAGAGTGTTCCTGGACCTCACATGATAACTGCCTCCTGGCTTTCTACTTTCTTTTTTAAAGACTCAGACCCGAATTCTGCCTTACTCATCTCCTCCCACCCCAGACCTAAGTCCTGCCTGCTCCCGCGTGCTTCCCAAGTCACGGGAACTCCCAAGTCACGGGAAGCTGTTGATGCCACAGTTTCCCAACGTGTCTGTCATCACATGCAAGGCAGAGTCCGGTGCTGTGGCACCACAGCTCCCCAGGTCCACACACGTGTGCTCCGAGGAGACAGAGACGACCTTTGGAGACGTGACTGTGCCCGAGAATGGCTTCCGCTCACGTGAAAAGCGGCAGTAATTAGAGAGGTCAGAGGTCTCCACTTAAGCACGCCAGGAACTCATGCTGGCACCAGGACACAAGGGGCATTCCTAAGGAAGAGGCCTGGTGTTCTAGTCACTGAAGAACAAGGACTACGTGCTGCTCTGAGCCTGGGTGCCTGGGGTGGACGCCTCAGTGTGACTGAATCCGAATGTGGCAGCCTCGGTGTGGGTCTCACCTCCTTCCCTGGCTCCATCATTCACTCTCTGATTCCCTGAAGTCTGCTCAGGGTGATTATCAGAGAAAAGTAACCAGTAGCCGTCAGAAACATGTCTCCGTGACTCACTCAACTCCAGGACCAGGGTGTGGTAAGGTTTCGCAGGCCCGCAGCGATCAACAAGCAATCATTCCCTGTTCACACAGCTGCATACTCACTCACACAAATACACACACACTCACACTCACTCCCCACTGGATGAGATGGCAAAAAAGTCACAAGTCACCCCTTCCAGCTATTCCTCATGCAATTTCCCCTCTCAGTTAAGTTAGTTACTCCACTTCCAAAGCCGCAATCTGTCGGGGCACAACTAAGACGACACCTCCCACAGGCAGAGCATGTACAGCGGAGACAAGTCTGGTTTTTGTAACTCCTGGGGCCTGGCTCTCGCTAAGGAGCAGTTCCATCAGCCCCACAGGGTTAGGTCCCAGGGGGTGTGGGCGCTCACAGACCAACAGAAACCCGTTCTAAGGTAGCCCGGGGGCCAGGATCCTAAGGACAGTGAGATTCTGAATCTATTTCCTGCTCATTTCCCTTGATTGTTGCTCTTCAGACCCACACACATCTTAAGGCAGTTGTGGAAGAATAGTGGTTAAAGCAGGAAGGGCAAAATCCCTTATTTCAGGCCAGTTAAGTGACTTGCCCAAGGTCACGCGGTTACTGGCAGAGTCGGCACTAGAACCCAGGTGCCTCTCCTAACTCCCAGCCAGTGCTCCTCCCACTGTGCCCTGGCGCCTCCTGGGAACGTGTGTCTGAGTCTGTGAAAGTGCAGCCATGGGACCATGTCCATAACAGAGACCGCAGGCTGCTCGACCCGGTGACCGACCAGGTGCAACTGCGCTGTGCCAACCCTAACGCCACACACGACCCGGACGTGTGTGCGTGGCAGTGAGCCCTGGCGGGGAGGGACACAGAGAAAAGGAAGTTTAGAGGAAAGAATCGATTTGTTAATTAATGCCTTTTGAGGTTTTGCCAGGAAAGTAAGGAACATACAGTGATGTTATCCCCAACCCCTGGGGCAAAACAAATACCAGCTTTCTCCCCAGTCCAATGAACGGCTGAGTCTACTTCAGCTCAATGTTTATAAACGCAACAGTCACATGAGAATACCAAAATGCATTTAGTCAAAACCTAACCCCCTTTTAGATAAAATAACGTTTTACAACCATGTCCATTCCATTTTCAAACATATGCACAGTTAGGTTTTGAGCCTCTAGGACACACACATTCCAGTTTACCTTCGAGTGGAGCACACTAGTGGAGCGCCTTCATTTCAGCTGCAGAAGGCGAGCAAACCTGAGCGAGAGCTACAGAAGGGGCGGCTTCCCACACACCTGTGCTCAGGCCTCGAGCCAATCAGATCCCAGCGAGCAAGCAAAGCGCGTTCACCGCATTGGATGAATCATCAAGGTTTGTTTTGTTAATAGGCTCCCTGGAAGGAAATTCATTTGACTTGAAATTAACCTTGACTGTGTTTTCCCAAGACAAGAAAAAATGTGGTTCTGACGCCCGGGTGGAAAGCACTATGTAATTTTACCCAGTGACTTAAAACTGCGGTGCACCATTTGACCACGAGCAGCCCGGCTCCTCCCAGCACCAATTAAACAGAAAATGCTGAGACCATCAGGTTTACACCGACGTGCCTGGAAGACAGACAAGACTCCCAGAAGCTCTGAAGCCTCTGCGGCTGCTGCTTTTTTTAATTTGTTTAAATCAAAACTTTCACAACCTAACAGGCACGCCTGTTAAAAACATCCCCACCCAGATGCTACGTTTAGCGAAATGCTGTAAAAGAGCATCGGCATCCATGTTGTTAGGACCAGAGATGCAGAAGGGCCCAAGAAAAGGAATATTTTGAATAAGTCCATGTTAGCATGACAAAGGGTTTCTCCCAGAAGTGTTTGTTGGCTAAAGGATGACAGTCTTTTCTCTGTGAGTTAGCTGAGTATTGTGATCATTCAAACTTCCCCTCTGAACCAAGCTAACCTACCATCGAAAGATTCCCACTTTTGTGGCACTTTAAATATTCACTGCAGCCCTGGCCAGTGTGGCTCAGTTGGTTGAGCATCATCCCATGCACCAAAAAGTTGCTGGTTCGCTTCCCAGTCAGGGCACATGCCAGGGGCTGTGGACTAGATCCCCAGTAGGGGCTCTCACATCCATGCTTTTCTCAGTCCCCCTTCCCCTCTCTCTCAAATCAATAAAAAAAGTTTTTTAAAAATGCACTGCAATTGAATTTTGAAGCACTTGATTACAATTTTTAAGTAAATACAGTGGGATCATTTTCTTGACTTTTTTTTTTAAAAAAAAGAATAAAAGACAGATTAAGAAAAAAGGATTCCATCATATTTTTAAAAAAATGTTATCCTGGTTTATTTTCCCATTAGATTTATCTATGGCTTCAAAGTTGACGTGGCCCTTGGATTTTAGATATTTTCATGATTTAACAAGTTGCCATCTCATTATAAAGAGAGAAGGTAAATGTTTCCTGTCATATGTGGGACGGTTTACAAACAGTCTAAAGAAGTTGGTAACTGGTGTCACCCCATTTATATTTTCCACTATTAAGTCTTGGAATTAGTATGTTTTAAAATAATTGACCAGGCAAGTATGTTTATACAACCAGGAACCAGCTCCACGTCCCCAGGTAACTCAGGACTGTCCCACACTGGGAGGGTCTTCCTTCCCTCCCCTCTTCACCCAGAGCTGAGTGGTGATCCTTGTCTACCCTTGTACTTGCACTTGTGCAGTGTAATGACTAGGTATTAAAACTCATGCTTTAAAAGCAAAAACGTTCACTTACGACATGTCACCAGGTACATACAAAGTGCAGACTGCAATTCTTCTCTGCCATGCTTTCCCTCCATAAAGTCACCTGTGAGGACTCAAAACACATCCTTAATACATTCAGAGTTCCCTACATTCGAGTCAGTGAATGTCAATTCTCCAACAGAAACTCAAGAGAGAACCGTCAGCCACAGAATGGACTCTAAGTTAGAAACGGCCAAGGCTACCGAGACAACGCCATAGACACCCACTGACACGGGAGTCAAATGCAGGTCACTTCTGAGCGTAGCTCATCCCAGATATTTTGTGGTTGTTAAGAAGGTATTTCGTTTTAATTTGGAAGCTGGGAGTCAGGCGTCCTGCTGCTGAGAGCTAGCCCAGGAGCAGCACACGAGCCCGCCTCGGGTACCACGGGGCTCACTCCTTGGCAGGTGGGAGCCCTTCCAAGTTTACTGCTGACTGACCCCCATTTGGGGGTGGTCCGCCTCTGGCTCCTCCTCCTCCACGTCTGCACTGTACTCTTCAAACGCGTCGTCATCAGCATCCGGAAGCCCCAGTAACTGCAGGGAGAGAAGAGAAGCAGCTGTGAGCCCCAAAGGCCCCAGGTAGGAAGGCCACCAAAGGCATCTGCTCCAAACTCAGCAGCACTTACGGACTCAGCACAGCAGCTACGGATTTCCCATGAGAGTCTACCCAACAATTATGTTTATAAACTTATAGAGGGAGATAACCCTTCAATGGACTGGGGCCCAAAGGGCTCGTTTTATTGGGGAGCCTGGAGATTCTCTACTTTTAAGCATTAAAACATGACCCCACCTCCCACCTATGCACAAAGATATGCTATCCACGCACACCCACACATCTGGGATGTTAGCAGTAGTACAATGACCAGTGCGACTGTCCCATCCAGATGTCAAAAATCGATTCCCCTCATTTTCTCCCCTAAAAGCACAGCTGCTATTATTTATAACACACATGAAGAAATGTGGAAAAACTCTGAAAAGTTTCAACAAAGTGGTTAAATAAATTACTGTGTGCCCAGAAGATAGAAATCTTATATAGCCACTTAAAATAGTATTTTTAATAATCTAATGATACAAAAATATGCTCACAGTTGTGAAAAGAATGTGTGTTTACATTATGATACATATATCTTTAAGTTTATACACAAATGCATAGAAAAAAAGAGTTCAATGAAATACATCCAAATTTTAAGAGCATTATTTTTAGGCATTGTGATTCTGGGTAAATTTTTTCCTTTGTGATCTTTACATATTTTCCAAATGCTCTCTAGTCATCATCAGGGAAAGTCACAATAATCCACAGTAAACATTTTCTTAAAGCACTGGCTGGGCTTTGGTTGGAACTGAGTGCCATGAGCTGGGCTGCATCGATATGAGCAAGAAGCTCTGGTGTTGGCAGGAAGCCGTGACCTTGGGCACTCCTGAGCCTTGTCCGTGATCATGGGCATCCAGCCCCTGGCTCCTCAGTGAGATTACAGCATGCATGTGGCCAAAGGACTTCCTCACATGGTGACCTCATCCTTGGTCAATCAGTTTGAGGCAACTTCACCAAATGGCCCTATGATCTAAGCTCTAACTGCATTAAGACACTAACATAAGATGGGCCACTCTGTTTGCTTGCACTGCCTCCCTTGTGCCCTGCCACGCCACCCCCACCCAACTCCCTTCCTTCTTCCTGCTCCTTCCCAACTCCCTAAGTGAGAAAAGGATAAAAGCAGAGTCCCAATTATGATAATGCCTTGACTGAAGTTCTCAAACCACAACTCTGGCTGGTCTCACAGAGCCCTATGCACACACTCAGGGCAAGAGCGTCTGTTGGCACTCCTGGTCCATTGTGCATGTGGCCTGCCAGGGCGGCCGCGGCCGACTGCAGACACGTGCCTTCTCCTTAGAGCTCCAAGTACAGAGCTGTCTCAAAGGGCCACTGTCGACTGGGAGCGGTGGGGCAGGAGGAGCACATCCAGCTCATCCCAATAGTTTGTAACAATCTCTTGAGCGGTTGGGAGAAGGAAGAAGCTCCTTGCCCTGACCACGGCCTCCCTTCCATATCTTAGTGGATGGAATGAAAGATCAAGTTTGCCTCTCAAGAGAGAGGAGAGATGGTTGGTACCATGAATGCAGGTGACTCATATTCCGGTGTTCAGGTTTTATTTGAAAATTGAAATAAGTCAGACAGAAAGAGTTAAGAACCATACGAACTAGAATGTGCCTGGGATTCCAAACGATATCACCCAGACACGTGACCGTCTAGCATTCCCACCCCTGTCTCCATTCCCATGCATGGCGGGTAAGTCTAAATTTAACTTCTGGATCCGAATTGTGAACAGTCAAGATCTATCAGAGACAGGAGTGCAAACAGACTGGAGAGAATCCTGGAGCCCTTCCTCTCAACGCACCCACACAGTCTTAGGAGGAAAACGAGACAGGCCAAGAAATCCTGTCGTGTACATTTAAATGACTGCTGGTAGTTATGATCACTAATTCCTTTTTAATCGACTGGAAAAACCTTGTATGTTCTCTCTGGACAAGTATTGGCATTCCCAGGGTCTTGCTGTCCACCAAGCTTCCTCTGAGCAACCTATGATCACACAGAATGGCGGTTCTCAACCTGTGGGTTGCGACCCTTTGGGGGTCGAACGACCCTTTCACAGGGATCGCCTAAGACCATCGGAAAACACATATATAATTACATATTGTTTTGTGATTAATCACTATGTTTTAATTATGTTCAATTTGTAACAATGAAAATACATCCCGAATATCAGATATTTACATGACGATTCATAACAGTAGCAAAATTACAGTTATGAAGTAGCAACGAAAATAATTTTATGGTTGGGGGTCACCACAACATGAGGAACTGTATTAAAGGGTCGAGGCATTAGGGAGGTTGAGAACCACTGACATAGAACTTCTGGGGCCCATCCACCTCAACAGGATTGTTCAAGATGGTAGAGATGCCAATCCTTGAATTACAGTTCCATAGACCCAAGAGAGCATGGATTAACTGAAGGATTGAATAGGGGCTTTTTGGAAAGTGGTGTAAACAAGTTGAAGCCACATTCAGTACGGAGATGCTAAAGCATTTGGGGCATTTGCCACCATTTATCTTACTGATCGTAATGCTGCTGGTACCAAGAGACCCAAGGCCCGGGCAGTCTGTTTTCTTGATATGAGGAAAAGAAGAGGCAGGTGGCGAGATGACTAATGGGCAAGAGTAGTTGCCACTCTCTTACTTTAGGGGCCACTGTATTTTCTGAAACACATGCACAAGGGTTTGTTTATAATGTGATCAAAAAACAAAAGCCATAATCAACTTAAATTGGCACACGGCTTGGTTCGATTCCCGGCCCGGGTGCCAGCCCTCCTCCCGCGCTGAGCAGGTCCGGATCCTGCCCTTTCTCCAGGCCCCATCTCCTCATGAAGCCTCCACCAGCTCTGTGTTACTCAGCGAGCCCACTCACCCCTGGCACTCCTAGCTCTTCTAGCACAGTGTAGACCAAGCATGTCAAACTCGTGGCCCACAGGCCACATGCCTCGTTTATTTGGCCTGTGTTAGCCTTTGAGCTTGACATGTTTGGTGTAGACAAAATTAGCTTTTTAAAAAAACACAACATAATTTCTGATTATAAATGTTTTCTGTGACATAAATAAACGCTCTGTCTTGTAACGTGGAGTTTCTCGGTAGTTTCTGTGTCTGTCTCTCCTTCCACAGCCAGCTCCTTGGGGGCAAGAGCAGGCACTGTGCCCTGACCTCACTCTCTAAAGCAGGGCTTGGGCAAATGCAGGTGACCGACACATATGGTTGAAAAGGTGATGAAGAAGTAGAGGAAAAAGAGTAAAATGGCAAAAAAGGATAACTTTTACTTTTCCTTTTCACATCCAGCAGCGGATTTATTGGGGTGGTGGTGGTTTTCAGTGGGGGGAGGGCAAACAAGAGAAAGGGGGAGAAGCGCAGCCCACAGAGCTGGTGTGTGGAAACAGGCAGAGCGCTGCCGTGGCCTGCTCAGCCTCCAGGCAGGACGGCTGGGGAAGGCCAGGTGATGACCCCGCCCTGGGCCGTGCACGCAGGAGCGCCCGGCTGCAGCAAACTTAATTGACTCTGCTTGACTGATGCCCCAACGGCAGCAGAGGGCTGTCAACAGATGGATCTTATCTTTCTAGAGAGACTGCACAGGGCAGGGGCCGGCGATGGGCTGGCCAAGGGAAACAGGACTCACAGCCAGGGAGGAGGCTGTTCTACGGTGAAAATGTTCCTCACGTGGCTTCCCCGACTGCAAACAAAAGCACCACGTTTTCAGGGAAACGATGTGCTGACGCTCACCTGCTTGACCATCCTGTAGCACTGGGGCATGTGCTACTCCAGCAAATACTTTCCACTACAACAGCGACAAGACCCTCCTTGTGTCTTATTTCTAAATGCAACCTCCCTTAGGCAAAACAAACAGGTAGCTCTGGCTGCTATGGCTCAGTTAATTGGGCATCGTCCTGTGCACCGAAAGGTTGCCAGTTCAATTCCTGGTCAGGGCACATGCCTGGGTTGTGGGCCTGGTCCCTGGTGGGGGGGCAAGCAGGAGACAGCTCATGGATGTTTCACTCTCACATTGATGTTTCACTCTCTCTCTCCCTCTAATAAATAAATAAACAAATAAATAGAAATTTAAAAAATCTATTTGAACCAAGTGGGCTTAGAAATTTTTAAAAATAAAAAACAAATTGGTTAGATGAATGATACAAATCAACAAAGTGTGGACAAAAGTCACTAAAATTCCAATTCTTGTAGTAATAGTGGGTTAAATGATTGGGACCAGCTCTCCCGCAGGGAACCAAAAGCTGGATTAACTATGAAAAGTGCCTTCTTGGATACATTGAGGAATTCGGACCTAGAGGGGTAAACCTGCTTCTGTCCTGAGGTCCTTGCTGACCGAGAAGAAGCAGTTAGAAACCTGACTGAATGGCTGGCCTATGCTAAGAGCTGGGGGACCAGTCAAACCCAGGGTCTCCCAGAGGAGCAAACTGTGATGAACCATCCCCACGGTAAGCTGGGACCCCATAGGCCTATACCTTTGCTTCGGTCTGAATGTCTGTGTCTGAAGTTCATGTTGAAATTCTAACCCTTGAGGTGTTGGTATGAGGAGGTGGGGCCCTTTGGGAGGTGGGAGGTGATTGGGTTGGGAAGGTAGATTCCTCATAAATGGAACCAATACCTTATAAAACAGGCCCCGGAGACAGCTCTCTCCTTCCAGCAGGTGAGTGACGGTAAGGAGATGGCTGTAACCGGGATGCGGGCTCTCACCAGACACAAAGTCTCCTGGCCACCTGATGGTGCCTTCCCGGCCTCCAGACTGAGAGAAGTCAATCTCTCTTGTTTCTAAGCCACCCAGTCTGTGGTAGTTGTTTAGCAGCCTGATGGGGGTGGGGGTGGGGCCTAAGACAGCTCTCAGGACAAGGATCAACTAGGAGGAGGCAGCCCTGCAGCCTGGCTTGGCATCTCCTGCAGAGTCTGAGAACCACAGGCCCGCCATTGTTCAAAGGCATTCTCAGGCCAATAGGCCTGAGCCCTGGCAGAAGCAAACAGCCCCCCCACCCCCCTTAGGAAGGTACCTTCATCGTGGGCCTCAATTTATTCCTATATATAAATTTTCAAATATATAAATCCAACGTCCAAAGAAACACAATAGCAGGAGTGAGAACAGTCAAAACAAATGGCAACAAACAGATTTACAAACCTTGAAATATTGGACTATCAAACACAGTCTCTCATGCAACCATGCCTACTATGTTCAGAGAAATTGAAGACAAGCTTGACAATTTCAGCAGAGAAGTGCACACTGTTTTAAAAGATTTGAAAAAGAAATGAATAGAAATCCTAGAGCAAATATCCTGACCACATAGAGTCCAGAGGGCAAGGAATTGAACTCGGCAGAAGTGTGGGGCCACTGGCTCTATCGTCCAATAATGATACAGGGAAACAGGTCACTTTCACAATAGAGTGAGTATTCATTTTACATGCTTTTCAGCAAGAATGAAGGTACTGCTAGCTAGACACAAACATAGATTCCTAAATCCTAACGGGTGGTGGTGGTTGGGTAGACAAGCTCTCTATGGTGAGTTTATAAAGAGAAAAGAATAGGACCCTTGCCCTGGCTGGTTTGCCTCCGTGGATAGAGTGTTGGCCTGCGGACAGAAAGGTCCCCGACTCAATTCCAGTCAAAGACACATGCCCAGTGTGGGGTGTGCAGGAAGCAGCCAATCAATGATTCTCTCATCATTGACATTTCTACTTCTCTCTCCATCTCCCTTCCTCTCTGAAATCAATCAAAATATATTTAAAATAAATAAATTAAAAAAGAAAAAGAATAGGACCCACACCCAATTTCATGCCCACAGGTGGGGAGGTACCTCCTTTGTGTAGCCTTCTGGCCGCCCCCTGGATATAGGCCTCACCATTATACGGACCTGCACAGCACTTCCCAGCAAGTTGGCTGTAAGACGCCTGGGTGAGGACAGGGATACTCAGTTGTCTCATGAAGGCTGTTTGCTTCCCACCCTATCAGCGATTCTTAACTCCAGTGATGCTAGAAATAACCCTCGTCCCTACACCGAACAGCTGTGTCACATCCCGTTCCCCCTCCCTCCCGCCCTCAGCCACCCTCCAGAGCTGCTATCTTTAAGCCACCAAGCAGACAAGAGACAAACAATTAGTCATCCCAGATTTTGCCCAATTTCTCCACGATCTACATTTTTTCAAAGGGCAATCCGGGTAGAAAACAAGGGCTTTAGAAGCCGGGCGGGTACCTACGGGTCTGAAAGACTTGAAGACTTTTTCCAAGACTTCCTGGAGCGTCTTCTTGCCGCAGGAGGAGATGTAGTCCTGTGCGAGCTGCAGGAAAGGCAGGCAGTCCTCGCTCTCACTCCACACGTGCTGGTGCCCAGGGGCGAGAGAGAGGAGAAAACAAAGACACAGTCATTACACGCAGTGCGAATCCAGAACGCCAGAGAGAGCTTTTCCATTACATTCCAGAGTAAGATGCATATGGTCACTGACTTGCTTGCTCTGAAAGGGATCGGAAAATGCAGACCCTATTGCCCGGCCAGTGTGGCTTGGTGGTTGAGCATCGACCTATGAACCAGGAGGTCACAGTTCAATTCCCTGTCAGGGCGCATGCTTGGGTTGCGGGCTCGATCCCCAGTGTGGGGTATGCAGGAGGAGCTGATCAATGATTCTCTCTCATCATTGATGTCTCTCTCTCTCTCTCTCCTTCTCCCTTCTTCTCTAAAATCAATAAAAACATATTTTAAAAAAAGAAAAGGCAGGCCCTGTGCTCCTGGTCCATAATCTCACCTGCTCAATTTGCAACAGATCTGCTCATGCGTTGTAAAAAGGGCATTGGGGTCGACAGCCCCCACCCACGATGGCCACTGCCCCCCCTTCCAGGGCAAGCCGAGGCGGCTTTCAACCAGGAGGGAGCGGAAACCAAGAGCCTGCATGATCCTTGACTTTGCCTTCGGCTGTGGCTGAAGGATTAATTAAACATAGTTTGTAACCACTAACTTGGAACAAGACATTCTTTACCCAGATTAGCCTGTGAGCGGGGGTGATGGTAAATTTATTTCAAAATGAAATGAATTTAGGAGAACACACAGAAAAGTCATCACTCAGTCACTGGTGGGGTGGGGGGTGGAAAGACTTCTGAAAGTTCACCTTCCCTTAAAATGCTTTAAGAAGGCTCACACCCAAGCCTCACTTCACAAAGTGAACCTACACCTAGGGGAGACTGGCTCTAGGTTTTACATTTTTCTTAAGGCTAGACAAGTTTTTCTTTTTCTTTCTTCTTCTTTTTTTTTAATCCCCGTGAGGATATCCATTTTAGCACATCTTTAGGACTAGACAAGTCTCTCCCATAAATGTTCCAGGATTTGGAATAAGCCCAAGAAACAGGCGTGAGAGATCTAGATGAGGAAGCGACAGGCCATGGGCTTCCAGGATAACGTCAGGATGTGTATCAGTTATCAAAAATCACAGTTTAGAAGGGACCAATTAATGACAGCTCAACACTGGTTTTTAAAAAGTATAGAAGGCCCAGCCAGCATGGCTCAGTGGTTGAGTGTTGACCAATGAACCAGGAGGTCACCATTTGATTCCCGGTCAGGGCACATGCCTGGGTTGTGGGCTCGATCCCCAGTAGGGGCTGTGTAGGAGGCAGCCGATCAATGTTTTTCTCTCACCACTGATGTTTCTATCTCTCTTTCTCTCCCTTCCTCTCCGAAATCAATAAAAATATATTTTAAAAAGTGTAGAGATACGGGAAGAGGGAGACATTGGCAGCTGGGAATAAGAAGCAACAACTGCCCTAACCGGTTTGGTTCAGTGGATAGAGCATCGGCCTGCAGACTCAAGGGTCCCAGGTTCGATTTCAGTCAAGGGCATGTACCTTGGTTGCGGGCACATCCCCAGTGGGGAGTGTGCAGGAGGCAGCTGATCG